ACTTTGATGCGACTTTGGATGGGTGCGATTTTTTTTTTTTTAAAAAATAGATAAATATGACAGTCCTGTTCATGTAGTTTACCCTCTCTAGCGTTCAAGTCGCATCCAAGCCGCATCCAAGTCGCACCTATCCAAAGTCACATTATGGTTGCATCAAAGTAGCATCAAAATCAATACAAAAAAAAACAAAAACGCAGAATGCGCCAGAAAAACGCAAGAAAAACTATGTGAAGCTTGATGAAATGACAGATAACAGCACATAGCCAGATATGTGTGAAGCTGCGATCTTCAATGCTTGATGCGTCTCCAATGTGACAATCAGTGCATCCGCTGTCATAACTCACTGGCAGCCCCTAGTGGCTGTTTTAAAAATTACAGAGATGTCACCGTTTCCTTCAGGCCAGACATGTAAAGTAAAAAGTGAAATAAAAGAGGGGTTTGAACTGGTCAGAATTAAAGTGACCCTTAACTCCAGTTTAAAACCAAAATTCTATTCAAGTATGTATTCTAAACTCAAAAAATTCCCTTCTATTGCTCCCAGCCTCCAATTCTGAAAATCCCTTTTCTTTGCTGCTGTGATCTGACTTCCTGTTAGAGGGTGGCTAAGCTCGTCCCTATGGGCCCCACTGTCTGTAGGAAGGTAGCCACCCTCTCTTGCTCTCTTCCAAGATGGACTAGGGACTATGGGATGTGTACTGTGCATACATGACCGCAACTAATGGACACTGCTTGTTCCATACAAAGGGAAGTGAGTGGGAAAAGGAGAGGTTGGAGAGCTCAGAGAGAAAGTTACAAGGAAAAAGAAAAACACAGTAAGAAATGATTTCATACAAATTAGATTACAGGGCCTTTAAGTAGTGGAGGTGTATGAATTATTTTTGAAGGATAAAAATATCATTTACATGAAAATATAATAATTCTGGGCCATATATACCAATTTGTGTACAAAAGAAAGGGATATGCTGTGTATCATAAACGTAAACTCCATTAAAAAGAAAACAAAAAAAACATTTTCCAAAACATTCTCATACTCATTAACATGTATCCTTTACCAGTTCCCGCCTGGCCTTTTGTCAAATGACGGCCGGGCAGGACACTCGTTATTTCGGGTGGACGTCAGTCATATGACGTCCTCCCCGGAATTCGCCTAGCATGCGCCCCATTGGGCCACACTGAGGCGCAATCTGTCACCCACTGTGTCCACTGGACAAAGCAGATGAACGATCTGTGTACCGGCAGTTGTTGGTATCATGTGATCATTGTGACCAATCACAGCAGATCACATGACATATGTACACAATGGGTGGCATTCATTCATGTACTGTGCGTTAATCTTTGTGATTGGTCACAGTGATCACATGGTACAGAAAGGGTCAATCACAGCCCATCTGTACCATGTGATTAGATGTAGCTAATCACAGCTACCGGACAAAGCAGATGAACGATCTGTGTGTCGGCAGCTGACGGTATCATGTGATCGTTGTGACCAATCACTGCAGATCACATGACATATGTACACAATGGGTGGCATTCATTCATGTACTGTGCGCCGATCTTTGTGATTGGTCACAGTGATCTCAACGCACAAACGCAATGCAGATACGGCTCAAATGCAAACTGCGAACCTAGCCTAAATGTGGTTACAATGCTAAAAATACAAGTCCATGCCGCGTTTTTGATGCGTTTTGCATTTTAAATCTACCTAGCAACAAGAAAAAATATATATATATATAAAAAAAACTGCAAACTGCATAGGTGTGAACCTTCCCCAAATGTGGTTACGATGCTAAAAATACAAGTCCATGCCGCGTTTTTGATGCGTTTTGCATTTTAAATCTACCTAGCAACAAGAAAAATATATATATATATATAAAAAAAACTGCAAACTGCATAGGTGTGAACCTTCCCCAAATGTGGTTACAATGCTAAAAATACAAGTCCATGCCGCGTTTTGGATGCATTTTGCATTTTAAATCTGCCTAGCAACAAGAAACATATTTAAAAAAAAAACTGCAATCTGCATAGGTGTGAACCATCCCCAAATGTGGTTACAATGCCGAAAATACAAGTCAAAATACATCCACGCCAAACTCAATTCGCTACGCCGCGCCCATTCTGGCTCCATAAGACCAAAGGTTTGGGATAATTACGCTTCATTAAAAAAATGTCGGCGTCAGAAACATAACATGGCATTTATTAATCATTCCCTCAACTGTCACTGAATTAAACATCATGAATTAGCAGTTAGGGAACAAATGAGGCCCTTTATTTTGAAAAGTGACTGCTATTAAGATTCCTGCGGTTTTGTCACCCCCCCACCCCTGATAGGTCAGAAGCGGCAGGGCAACAGAATGTGAATGAGTCAGCTGGCAGGAGTGACATTTATGGAGATTGGAGTAGAAGTTGAGGAATTCAGTGAACTTCCTGCAAACTGTCACTTCTGCGAAAGTCTCTCTTTTATTTGACGCTTTCCAGAGGTGATTGCAGCCGAGATGCCCAGACCACATTTAGCAGGGTCAGTGTGTGTCAGTTAATGGGATATCAACTGGAAGACAAATTTTTCTACAGCAATTATTTTTACATTTCTTTACGGGTCGGATCACACTATAGAAATGAAGTCCAGATATGTTCTGGATGCATTTTCGCATGTGTGTTTTTGACGCATTCCGGTGCATTTTTTTTATACATTCCAATTAATTTTTCCCCTCTCTTTTCCTTCAGTTTAAATAGAGACAAGTGCGTTTCAGTGCATTTTTGGTGCGTTTTGGTGCATTCCAGTGCATTTTTTTGTGTTTTTACCGCATTCCAGTACAATTCTGTGCAGAAAAAAATGCAGCCTGTTCTACTTTTTTTTCTGCAACCGGAACGCACTGGAACTGCAAGCACTGATGCAAACTACGAAGGATGACTGAAAAGTTATTGGCCAGTGTTCTGTCTCTACAATCTAAGCATTGAAAGTGTGATCTCTGTAACTTACAGTTGTGATGAGATAGCGATAACTCCAATCTTAGTTGAAAAACACAGACAGTGACTCGAACAGATGACATCTTTTATATCTTGTGATGTTTATTCCATACACTTAGAGAATCTTACAATGAACATCGGATAGGTCAAAAGATCATAATGTGCTCTGCTTCATGATATGAGGCTTGAAGCTGCAATGCATTTCTGGGAAAAGGGGTGGGGCTATCTATACAGCATTAATTAAACCAGAGGAAAGGGAGGAGCAGAGCCAAAATATAGAGAACACTTAAAGGCATATGACAGTCATGTGAAACATGACAGCCGGTGTTTTTTACGCGTTCCAGTGCATTTTGGATGCATTCCAATTCAATTTTTACTAAACCCACAACAGTAAGATCAGTCTGTAGATGCAGTAAAGCATGCTTGTTATACTCACTGTGGAACCTAAGGGGTTAGTCCTCCGTATTATGTAATAAGGTTGTTTGTTCCTCCCCTTCTTCTACTGTCCCCAATCCATTTGCTCTAAGAGTCACTCTGCACATGCTCAGTTTAGTGTGTATTGCTCAGTTTGGTACATTCCAGTGCGTTTTTTTATGCATTTTTACCGCGTTCCAGCACAGTTCTGTGCAGAAACAATACAGCCTGTTCTACTTTTTTTTCTGCAACCGGCATGCAAGGGAACTGCAAGCACTGATGCGAACTATGAGGGGGCAATGGAAAAGTTCCCAGCGGTGTTTTTGACGCGTTCCAATTAAATTTTCCCCTCTTTGCCTTCAGTTTAAATAGGGACATTTGCTTTTTGGTGCTTTTTGGTGCATTCCAGTGTGTTCCGGTGCATTTTTATGCATTTTGCCGCGTTCTATTACAGTTCTCTGCAAAAAAAATGGAGCCTGTTCTACTTTTTTTCTGTAACCGGAACGTACCGGAACTGCAAGCACTGATGCGAACTACAAACTATAACTACTGAAAAGTTCTCGGCCGGTGTTTTTGACGTGTTTCAGGGTGTTTTTAATGCATTCCAATTCATTTTCCCTCTCTTTTTCTTCAGTTTAAATAGGGACATGTGCGTTTCAATGCATTTTTTGTGCGTGTTGGTGCATTCCAGTGTGTTCTGGTGCATTTTTTATGCGTTTTATCCCATTCCAGTACAGTTCTGTGCAGAAAAAATGCAGCCTGTTCTACTTTTTTTTTTCTGCAACCGGATCACACTGGAACTGCAAACACCGATGCAAACTACGAGGGGCGACTGAAAAGTTCTCGGCCGGTGTTTTTGGCACGCTCCAGTGCGTTTTTAATGCATTCCAATTCAATTTTCCCCTCCCTTTTCCTTCAGTTTAAATAGGGACATGTGCGTTTCAGTGCATTTTTGGTGCGTTTTGGTGCATTCCAGTGCAATCCAATGCGTTTTTTATGCGTTTTACCACGTTCCAGTACAGTTCTGTGCAGAAAAAATGCAGCCTTGGGGGCAAGCTGCGAATGCTCAGTTTGGTGTGTATTGCTAGAGAATGTTTTTTTTTCTTGGGAGAGTGCATGTGATCAGCACAGGGCCAATCAGCACTGTCCAGACAGAAACCAGGGGTTCTGCATCCTCATAGGACAATCAGGGGAGAATGAAAACTCCTCCTACAAGCTTTAAAGTGTTACTAAACCCACAACAGTAAGATCAGTCTGTATATGCAGTAAAGCGTGCTTGTTATACTCACTGTGGAATCTAAGGGGTTAATCCTCCGTATTATGTACAAAGGCAAACACACTAAACTGAGCATGTGCAGAGTGACTCTTAGAGCTCTGTACTATCAGCAAATGGATTGGGGACAGTAGAAGAAGGGGAGGAACAAAGAAGACAGGATCAAACAGATCCTGTCTTCTTTGTTCCTTCCCTTCTTCTACTGTCCCCAATCCATTTGCTGATAGTACAGAGCTCTAAGAGTCACTCTGCACATGCTCAGTTTAGTGTGTATTGCTAGAGAGTTTTTTGGGTTTTTTGGGGGAGGGTGCATGGGTCAGCAGGGGTTCTGCAGCCTCATAGCACAATCAGGGGAGAATGACAATTCCTTCTACAAGCTTTAACCAGTGCTCAGCTGAACACTGATAGAAGTCACAAGACTGCTCTAACTGCTGATGAGAACATGTTTTTAGCAGTTTATATTTACTACAATAATTGCAATTCCATGTTCTGTGTACTGTGGGAGACCAGATATAGTGAATGCAGGGTTTGGGGCAGGTGCGGACTGACAACTCATGGGGCCCCCGGGCAATAGGGGATATAAAAGGTACCAGGGGCATTTCATGGGGCCCCCTACTGACCCGGGCCCTCAGGCAGTGCCCGAGTGCTCGAATGGTCAGTCCGCCCCTGGTTCGGGGAGACCAGATATAGTGAATGCAGGATCCTGGCAGACCAGATATAGTGAATGCAGGGTCCTGGGAGACCAGATATAGTGAATGCAGGGTCCTGGAAGAACAGATATAGTGAATGCGGGGTCCTAGGAGAACAGATATAGTGAATGCGGGGTCCAGGGAGACCAGATATAGTGAATGCGGGGTCCTGGGAGAACAGATATAGTGAATGCGGGGTCCTGGGAGAACAGATATAGTGAATGCGGGGTCCTGGGAGAACAGATATAGTGAATGCAGGGTCCTGGGAGACCAGATATAGTGAATGCAGGGTCTGGGGAGACCAGATATAGTGAATGCAGGGTCTGGGGAGACCAGATATAGTGAATGCAGGGTCTAGGGAGACCAGATTTAGTGAATGCAGGGTCCTGGGAGACCAGATATTGTGAATGCAGGGTCTGGGAGACCAGATATAGTGAATGCAGGGTCCTGGGAGACCAGATATAGTGAATGCAGGGTCCTGGGAGATCAGATATAGTGAATGCGGGGTCTGGGGAGACCAGATATAGTGAATGCGGGGTCCTGGGAGACCAGATATAGTGAATGCAGGGTCTGGGAGACCAGATATAGTGAATGCGGGGTCCTGGGAGACCAGATATAGTGAAAAATGCGGGGTCCTGGGAGATCAGATATAGAGAAATGCAGGGTCCGGGGAGACCAGATATAGTGAATGCAAGGTCCTGGGAGACCAGATATAGTGAATGCAGGGTCTGGGGAGACTAGATATAGTGAATGCAGGGTCTGGGAGACCAGATATAGCGAATGCAGGGTCCTGGGAGATCAGAATATAGTGAATGCGGGGTCTGGGGAGACCAGATATAGTAAATGCAGGGTCCTGGGAGATCAGATATAGTGAATGCAGGGTCCTGGGAGACCAGATATAGTGAAATGCGGGGTCCTGGGAGATCAGATATAGTGAATGCGGGGTCCTGGGAGATCAGATATAGAGAATGCAGGGTCCTGGGAGACCAGATATAGTGAATGCAGGGTCTGGGGAGACTAGATATAGTGAATGCAGGGTCTGGGAGACCAGATATAGTGAATGCAGGGTCCTGGGAGACCAGATATAGTGAATGCAGGATCCTGGGAGACCAGATATAGTGAATTGAGGGTCCTGGGAGACCAGATATAGTGAATGCAGGATCTGGGGTTTAGTAATTAACATTAACCACTTGCCCTCCAGAGGATTTATTCCCCTTCCTGACCAGGCCATTTTTTTTATGATATGGCGCTGCGTTACTTTAACTGACAATTGTGCAGTCATGCAATGCTGTACATATAAATTATTTTTTTCTATAAATAAAAGGCTGACAATTTTGAAGAAAAACAATATTTTTGACATTTTGCTATAAAACATATCCAATGAAAAAAAAAAAAATTTCTTCATAAATTTAGGCCAAAATGTATTGTACCACATGCCTTTGCTAAAAGAAAATTCCCAATAATTCTATATTATTTGGATTGCATGAAAGTTATAGTGTCTACAAATGGCAGTATATATACAGGAATTTAATTTTTTTTTATGCTAGTAATGGTGGCGATCAGCGACTTATAGCGGGACTGTGGGCAGGGCTGCTGTTAGAAACCATGGGGCCCCATACAGCCAACCTGACAGCCCCCCCCCCCCCTTAAAAAACCCCAGAGTTTACTATGCTTCGGGTAGGAATGAACACAGTGAGTCATCAGTACTGACCACTCATCGTGTTCATTCAGCAAAGGAAGGGGCTGGTAAATGCGATGTACTTATCGGACCTTTCCCCACTCTCCATTTTGAAGGATCCTATTGTGTGCTTGCAGCTGCCGGTGGGAAGGAGAGGGGGGAAGCCGGCAGCATTGCGCAGTAGGGGGACTGGGCAGTAAGGGGAAACTTATGGTGTACAGGAAAGGCGATGGGTATGGCGGTGGGGGATAATTACTGGAACCGATTTCCTGCATGACTCCCTCTGCAGCAGCTGAAATCCAGCGGGAGGGAGAGGAGAGGAGAAGAAGGCAACTTTTCAGCTGCTGCAGAGAGCCATACAGGGGATTGGTTCCAGTATAATTGCCCCCACACAGTACGGAACACCCTCCCTGCCCACATCTGATTTACCCAGGCCCCCCCCCACTGGCCTGGGCCCCGTACAGGAGGACTGGTGGTACCCCCTGACTACAGGGCTGCGGAGGCCATTCTGAACACTAGGGGGGAACTGACTAACTGCCACTGACATCCCCAGTGACACTAATACAGTGATCTGTGCTAATAAAAAGCACTGACACTGTACTAATGACACTGGGCAGGAAGGGGTGTGATCAAAAGGTTAACTTTGTGCTGTGTGTGTTTTACATTGTGTGCTGTTTTACTTGGGAGACATGCTGCTGTGTATTCCTCTGCTGTGCAGAGATATACACACAGCAGCATGTCCATGCTGACAGGGAGAGAGATCTATGTTGTTTACATACAGACCTCTCCCTCTCTGCCCTACCGACGATCACCGAGTCCCGGTCGGAAATTGATGGCCAGGACCCGGTAATTGACATCCCCAGCAGCCAATATCGGCACGGTGTGCTGTGTGTGTTTTACTAGGGAGACCTGCTATGCAGAGAGATACAAAGCAGCATGTCCTTGCTGACAGGTGAGAGACCTGTGTTGTTTACACACAGATCTCTCCCGTCAGCTTACCCCGATGATCGCAGAGTGCCGGTCAGCAATCACCAGCCAGGACCTGGTGATTGACATCTCTAGCCGCCAATAACGGCGCGGGTAGGGCGGCGTACGCCCCCTACCTGGAAATGCAAATCACATATATATATATATGTGATTTTGCGAAGCCCTGCCACCCTGTAGCAGTACTTCTGCTATAGGGCAGAGGGCAAGTGGTTAAGAACAACGATTTCTTACCTTTTAGAGGTTCCTAAGGAGAAGGGGTCATAGACAGTCTCACAGTATCTTTGCCCCCACAGAGACTGAACGATCCCTCATTAGTTATCTATTGCTCTGAGGAAGTGAGTACAACTCCCGAAACGCGTTAGACTTTACCCGAAGACCTATATTGCCCATGACTGGCATCTATTGACTCCTTGTCTCTGTTTTTATGTTTTTGTCTTGTGAGTATGCATTTGTATTTATAATAAATGTCTTACTATCACGGTAATGCACGAGGAGAGTGCGCCCTGTTTTGTTCTTTTCTGCTGTACTTGTACTATGGCAGGGTGGCTGCTGTATGTTGGTTGGATCATGTGCATTTACGTGATCCAGAATTTCCAGGTAGAGGGCGCACACGTGCCTGTTCGCCGCCACATCTATGCTGTCATTCGGTATAGCACAAATCAGTCAGTAGGTCCCGGCCAATGATTTATGGCCAGGACCTGCTGATTGGCTTAGCGAATCACAGTACAGAGCCCTGTGTTTACTAACAACACAGGGCTCTGTACACGGAGCAGTGATGTGGCTGCTTTTTTCTCCCAGCAAAAACAGTCGCATCTCTTAGTAAAGAGCAGCCACACATTACAGTTAACCCTTTGATTGCCCCTAGATTTCAACCCCTTCCGGTGTCGTTAGTACAGTGACAGCATATAGTATTATCACGGATCACTGCATTAGTGTCACTGGTGTCAGTTAGTCAGTTCCCACCCAGTATCAGTTAGTGTCAGAATGTAGTGTCAGTATCAGGGGCGGACTGACAACTCATTGGGTCCCTGGGCAATAGGGGATCATGGGGCCTTGCCCACACTCAAAGCACACCCAAGAAAGCCTATAAAAGGTACCAGGGGCTTGTCATGGGGCCCCCTACTGACCCCAGGCCCTCGGGCAATGCCCGAGTGCTCGATATGGTCAGTCCGCCCCTGGTCAGAATGTACCTTTGATTGCCCCTAGATTTTAACCCAGTATCAGTTAGTGTCAGAATGTCCGGCGCACTATTGCAGTCTCGCAATAAGTCGCTGACTGCCGCCATTACTGTATTTAAAATAAAATCCAGTATATATACCAACGTTTGCAGACACTATAACTTTCATGCAAACCAATCAATATACACTTATTAGGATTTTTTTTTTCACCGAAGACATGTAGCAGAATACATTTCGGCCTACAACTATGAAGAAATTAGGTTTTTTTTGTATTGGATATGTTTAATAGCAGAAAGTAAAAAAAGTTTTGTTTTCTAAATTTTTGGTCTTTTTTTATTTATATAATAAAAAATTAAAAACCCAGTGGTGATCCTTTACTTGCCAGGTTAAGCAGTGCAGTTGCTGAATAGCCAAAAATGTCATGAAGGGGTAAAAGATCTCCGGAGCTCATGTGGATATGTTAAGTGCCAGAACAAATGGTAAAAGAGTCCAAATAAAGTAGAAGAGAGTTAATCTGATATCAGTTGTCTTACAAGAAGAATGTATCATGTTGATGAGGCCAGCAAAGTCTGCCCTGGTTTTCTTCCGATTAATGCTATCTCTGCTGGCTTGTGGAGTCTTTGTGGGGCTCTGCTCTCCTCCCTGTACCATATAAAGGGTATAAAAAGGGAGAAGGCTCTGCCCAGACAAGCCCTGCCATATGAAAACACAGCAAGAGTCACACAGATGAAGATGTGACCTACCTGGTGTGGGAGGAGGGAGAAAAAGAAAAGAGAAAGAAAAAGGAGAGATCCTCAATGCCACCATAGACGGGCTGCTGGGACTTGCAGTCCCATTTCTGAAACAACTCCTCATCTGGAGACATCGTTATGGGCACTGGCCAACCTTTGGACTTGCCAGTATTGGGGACTCCACCTATGCAGGTATGCTGGGGCAGTCACAGTTATCCAGTTAGGAAACACTTACTGTTCTTTTTGAGCTGAGATTATTTATTATTATTATTATACAGTATTATAAAGCGCAATAGTTCGCTCAGCGCTGTACATTACAAAGGGGGGACCAAAACATGTGACAGAACAATACCAATACAATGCAAAACATGAGGGGATCGAGGGCCCTGCTCTTTCAAGCTTACAATCTAGTGAGGGAGGGGATGGTGGCACAGGAGGAGATAGCTTGTGGGGGATGGAGTGGTAGGAAGATTGGAGGAGGTCGGCAAGTTAGCAGTGGGCGGGGTAGTTGGCTTCCCTGAAGAGATGGTTTTCAGGGTGCACCTAAAGGAGAGAGAGAGTTGGTGATAAATCTGATGGGTTGGGGCAGGGAGTTCCAGAGGATGGGTGACACCCTGGAGAAGTCCTGGAGGCGGGCATGGGAGGAGGAGACCATGGGAACTAGAGAGAAGGAGGTCTTGTGAGGAGCGGAGTGTGCGTGCTGGGCGGTACTTGGATATTATGTCAGTAATGTATGTTCGGGGCAGTATGTGGACAGCATTGTACGTTCAGCGTTAGGGAT